ATGAAAGTCTTGTACCACCGGAGCCTGAGGATGATGCCTATGATCTCGAAAATGCCTTTACTAACCGGTTCTATACCGAGGCCTCTCATGACATATTTGAGCGTTTTAAATCTTATGGGTTTTGGAGTGAACATCCTCTTAAGGATGCGAAATTTGTTGAACTTGGTGTTCTTCCTCTGATTGATTCTGTTGGGTTGTCTAAAACTGTTGTGGACTTGAGTTCCTTCTGTGACCAGGCTGTTTGTGAATTTTTTGCCAATCTTACCCCTGTAGTCTTTGAACCTACTAGCCCACACTTTCATAAACTCTTCTTGCGTAACCGTATTATCGATTTTTCCCCTGCTTTGATCAATGCTCATTTGGGTGTTCCCTCTGATATTCCCTCTTTGCCGGATGTTGATCTTGATGTTGTGACCCAGGTTCTTACTGCCAATCAGCTTGATACCTGGCCTGGGTCAAACCATCCTGTTAATTCTCTGTGCCTTGTTGCTAATCTTCTCCATAAAGTGGGTGCAGGGAATTGGACCCCCACGTCCAACAAAACTTTGCTCACTGAATTGCAAAGCAAGGTTATCTATTAGGTGATGGTGGGTCAGCCCTTTAATTTTGGGGAGGTTGTGTTTGAGATTCTTCAGCCTTTCATTACCAATATTGAGTCTCGTCGTTCCCTACCTTTTCCTTGCTTGATCTGGTCCCTTCTTGCTGCTCAGAATTTCTCTCTGAATCCTCGGTACAATGACTCTCTTAAGCCTCCTGGTAAAGATCTGGTTGTTAGCAACCGTACCTTGAGTGAGAAAGGTGCTCCAAAGCAGGACTTGACTCCTTCAGTGGTTCCCACCAAGTGGGATGAATTTTTCATCCAGCAGTTGGCTGAATGGGATGACCTGGCCAAGAAGGTTGCTGCCCAACAATCTTATCTGCGACAGGTTCTTCAGGCCGTCAAAGGGAAGCAGCGAAAGAACACGGGGACAGGCCCTTCGGCATCCCGTAGTTCGAAAAAGGGAGAGAAAGCTTCAAGCAAGAAGAATGTTGCTGATGATGGTGATGAGAATTCAGATTCTGGGGGAGACAACACTGATGATGCCATTGCGAACTACTATGATGATGAGGAGTAGTGCTTCTTCTTTTGTGTGTTTTGAGGGATGTAGGGAGGTCTTTATGTAATAAAGAACCTCGTACTTAT